TTTCAATCGGTCAAATGCTTTGGAGAAGTCTAGGCACACTACGTCCACTGCATCACCGCGATCAACCACTTTTTCCAATCTTCTCGGGTCAGAAGCAGGTTCGAGGTACACAATCGCCTACAATGAGATCAATGATGCCTCGGGGATTAAATTTTATATTTATCCATGTGACTCATCACACTGTCTGCAGCAATGGATTCCATGTCTTTAGGTAATGAGAAGAGGAGATCAACGGGACGGTAGTTAGCTGGGTGATTATGACAGCCATCTTTGTACATTGGTGAAATTACTCCCTTTCCATTTTTTTTTTTTGGGGGGGGGCACAGTTCTAACGAACATGCGTTGGAATAGTTCACTTAAGGGCTGAACTATGTTACTTGCCCGGTTGATAAGGGTTTGTGGATGGATGTTATTTATCCCCGGAGGTGAATTCCTTTTCAAACACTGCAGTTTTGATGCCATGATTTCTGGGGAGAAATCAGTTGTGGTTAGCGTTGGATGTGGTCTATCCTCGAGTAACAAAGGCAGTCTTAGCCCGGTGTTGGCAGATGCAGTGAACACTCGAGTGTGCCGACTTTTCAAAATTTGAAATTCCTGCTGGAACGCCAGATTTGATTTTTCTGGAGGTATTTATATATTTGTGCAACAGCTTGGGATTGGATATAAGCTTGCGAATCAGCACTTCTTTGTACATCAACTTTTCTTGCGCCAACTTGGTGGAACAGTTTCGAGGTAGACATTAGGGGCACCATATATTGTTACCACGGAATTGTTTGTACGCTCTCCATGAGATATTCCTCTGGGAAATCTAATTTCTTCTTTAACTGAGAACCATTGATTTTTATAAGTTGGGTAGGTAATGTGTTCGATCTTGGTCACGCCCTTCACCATTTCCGTGAGGTGATTCGTAAATTCTTGCCACGATACTAAAGGATTGCTCTGTTCGTTAGGAAAGTCCCATAGGATATCTCTCGCCAAATCTCAAGGTTGGTGTAATCAAAAAACATGCAAGAGTAAACCGTAGAAATTTGCGATTCAGATGCACAGCAATGTGGTCGAACATCAATACAGCATGATCGCTACGCCCTAATAGGGTTGTAGTAGAAAGCGTTTCCATTATCTAGCTAATTACCACTTGTAACTGCATTCAAACTCGAAGCTTATTCCCTTCAATAACCGGTTTGGTGAACCACTGGTTATTCACCTAGGGGAGTCGACCAAAAACCCTTATTCCAAACCAACCAAGAGGAGGCGTACGAACTACACACCTTCCCGGTCGTGGTAGTGGTCACCGACTCGATTGGGCATCAAGGTGCATTGGGCACCTTAGACGTTTGACCCCGTCCAAAGGGTGCATGATCCGATGAACTGGACACTGGCTCCCGATGGATTGCAGTTTTCACACCGCCTCGCCACCTTGCGGGTCGGGCATTCGATAGCCGAAGGCTCCAGTTGTGAATTCCTCAAGAAAATTCACCTGCTTTGGCCGGGGCAACCTGGCCGTATTCAGCCCGCATGCAAATTATAGAACGTTTTTTATAAAGAGTATTNACGTTTTTGAAACAAAAAAACATAACACGCTTCAATATAGCTTTTCTATAATGCGCCCCGAACGCTAGCACACTTGGTAGAAGCATAACGCGCTGTGTATAACTATGGCTAGTGTGTGAACGCCAAATGCCCCTTACTTTTGAGCATCAAAACTGCATACTGGAGATCAAAGCAACGTGAAAAACCACATTTGGCTAACAAGTTCGTCAGTCTAAAAATGAAATGAAAATGTGCAGAGAATTTAACTTTGACCGAGTAACACTGACCGTGACGGTCACTGGTACAGTATCCGGTTCAACTGGTGTCTCCTCGGTCAACTCATGACATCGTTCAACGGCAATGAGATTTTTCTCGGTCTCCGTGGCCACATAGACTGTGTCCGTCATCAGGTTGGCAGTGTTCATAGCGTACGCCGCAGAAAGCCCAGCGGCGGCAACCTGTGAAGACACAAACACACTCATTTCAGATCTTCGTATGAAGCCAAACAAAAAGAAACGTAAGAAACATTATGAAAGGTTATTGATAAGCGTGACATTAGATCAAGAGGGGAGAAAGGAAACCGAATGGTATTCAATGGATCTACAGCTGACTGAAGAATACACTAACACATCTTCAACTAAGCAGTGACTATTCAATAACCAACAAACTAACCAACGTAATAACCCAGTGGTCCAAGTTTTACTTCCAATGGAATCGCAGTGAACTTGTCAGACAGGCAGTTTTGTCGGAGAAGTGGAAAGTCGCTCGCATGTCGACGAGGGTAACCGTTGAAGTAACATCAACAACAACAAAAAGGTTTGGTATGAAAATGAAGCTTTAGTCAACAAGCCGAAGACCGGCAGATAAATCAAGATGATTTTAGGGCGTTTCGCACAACCTATGCACAACAACGGACTCGAAATTGAAAATAACATTTGAGATCTAACGGTTAACTCATAAATCAGTTTAGTTCGGTTTGTACAACCATTACCCATGCACTTTCGTGCACCGGTTTTGGTTGTTGTCTTTTGGCTGCCCATATGGATGACGGAGTAGAAAAAAAGATTGGAAAGTTCAAAGTGCAGTTGATCAGAAATACACTAAAATGGAGTACTTATCCCATTTAGTCACTTGCACAGCGGATGACGGTAACAGATACACAAGGCGCTAGTGAATCGGAATAAGCAGTGAAACAGTTATCGCGTCGACGGGAAGTTCGACGAACAGTTCTGATTTATGACTGTGAGATCTCCTCTGTAAGCGGAATAAGCACATCGTGAGATTTGAACTTTTTGACTGTCGATATTTATGCAGTTCATTGCAAGTGGGATGGAGTAAAGTGGTTAGCAGCGCTAAGGCAAGGCAATGTGCGTTCGAGAGTTTCACCGAAACACCTTCTTTCAGAACGGATTAAAAAAAGTATATGTTGCGGATCGAGACACGTGTTGTGTACACTTAACAGTCATCTACTGTGCCGCACTCTTTTCACACGCTTTTTCTTTGCCGCAACAGAGTGCAGAAAGCTGCAGGAAGATCAAAAGATGGCAAGGAGATTATGCAGGTGTCTCTCATTTGCATCGGTTCAAAATACCATATCAACGGTTAGTTGGGAAAACTAAAGGACACGGTGGTAATTGATAATCATTTCTTATTTAGATGGGCTGCTTGACGAGGTGTGAATATAGAGGTAGACCGTGTACTTCCTCTCGACCACATTAATTCTCCCGAGCAAACCTACTGCCGGGTGGTGTTAAATGCTCGTTTAAATTACAATCATTGTGAGCTTGACAGTAACCCGAGAGATTCGCGGGGAGCTACCACAGCTTCTGATTTCGAGTGATGAAGATGCTCAATATGACCATTACACAAGGCAGATAAGCCAACATTTCACCGGGCAAATAGACATGTTCGTTGTTTTAGATAGTAGAAGAAAAGTAGAATTCTACCGTTATGGGAAAATAGAAGACATTTGGTTAGCAGTCTTTGCCACTTAAATATATGAGTTTCTTCATCTGTTGATAATTCTGCTAACAGTAGCTAGTGTGAGTGCTGCCAACATGAGGGCATGCAGCAGCATGCCAAGGACAATGCATTTGTAAATGTCCTACCAGTATTCAGCAGTATTTTCATAATAGATCAGCGACAACTAATTACCACCTCAGGTGGTACCTGTGCTTAGCTTGCTGACTAGTACGTTCTTGAAGTCAAATAAGGTCACTAGTGAAGACACTTAGCTGAGGTCCAAGACTGAGTGTGAAGTAACATGTGATCATAACCTGTAAAGGGTGGCCACTACACGAAATATCCAGAGTACTTGCTAGCGTGTGGTCGGTCACAAAACTGCAACAAGGAGTTAAGCGGAAAAGACACGCTAATCAATCTTTGGTAGAAATATATAACTTTTACATGCTTATTGCACCTATAATAGTTAAAAACGGAAATGGGGCCTTTAAAATTCCTAATATTTTTCGGTCACGGAGAAACCGATCCACCGGTAAAAGCGGTCCCCGTTGTAGAAAAATAGTGGCGGAGAGGAGTTGAGCATTGAATCTTCAAACGCTGGCCGCATATTTGGTTACAACGATTTGTTGAGTGTAAATGTTAAACTGGGCACAGGACTACACGAGGGTAAGGGACTTAATCATCTGTTCCTGCGCGTAATATTTTTTTAGATCCCCCCCCCAACAGAATCGGATTTTTTTTTCATTCTCGACATGCCCAATCATTAGCATGGAACATCCCCTACCTGTCTGAACGAACAGAAGAAACATATAAGTCGGTGTTGGTTCGTTCTCGAAAACTTTCCGTATACGGTTCTGGCAGGAAAACTAAATTACCAGGGAAAATTTCTGCAAAATCAATCAAAAATTGATCTGCAAAAATTACTGTCGCTGAAAGTTCCCAATTTTGGTTGTGGTTATGGATCGGTGGAAATTAGGTTAACGGACAGAACACAACAATCTGCTTGGTCCATCCGCTTTATATATGATTACCTGTTTTCAATTATGGAAAAATCAGGGCTATGCGAAATAATATAGATGTAACATATTGCTCTATTATTTTAACGCAATTATCTGGAGCGTTCGACAAACACTCGCGCTGTTGCTATCGTTTACTAACTGGGAATCGCTGAGAAAGGCCTTGTTGACAGGATTCGGTGACGTAAACAAATAGGTCTATTTGACATATAGTTCATTTTTCAAACCAACGATTCCAGAGATAGGTAGGTAGGTATTAATAAATTAGGATAGTAACGAAATCGATCGGAAAATTCCACTAGCAGTTCATTCAGGTCCAAAGTGATCTAAAGTTGTGAACCGGATTATAACCAAAGAGGTAGAAACTTATCGAAATTCGAACTATGGGTATGAAAATATATTTTATTTGGTGGGCTTCGTCGTGCACAGAGCAAATGATGGGTGAACTCAAAACCTAGGAATCATTGGACGACTGCTCTGACCTGACTGGAACTCATCATTTGTGCGAATCTATCGAGCCAAATGGGAATCAAACCCAGGACCCCAGAGGTAGAACGCAAGCATACAACTCACTTGGTCACGCGGCAGCTGATCAAACGGTTATTCATGCTGCCTCTACACGATATAGCGAGCTTGTTGCGGGCATTGCACGTCACAGATCTCAGCACTAACATCCAGGATTATGACTCGATTGGAAACTTCCCAAATCTGAGGCTACTTGTTACATGAGGGTAGAGGAGGAATTGACTCAATGCAAAAGAAAGAAATTTATATTCCATCGCCTTGCGAGGGCCATGAGCAGACGACTGAGGAGTGTAATACTTATTTCTCAACGGAATTGTGTATTAACTACTTTTACCAATCAGTTCTCCCGTCATAGATGACCTCCTTTTATGTCAACCAGTTTGCGTTCGCCTGTGGCGCAAGTTACGTGGTTGGCACTACCAGACACCTGACCGATATCATGAGAGACCACCACCCAGCTTGGCTCAGTCGGGGACCGAAAGGAGTAGGTGCGAGTGCAGTTGCTATATATCTACCAGAGACGAATGATAAGATGGATGCGCGGGAACCGTTCAGTTTAACCTGTTCAATGCTAGGGATCCGGTCCAAGACTATTGAAGCCCGATTACTACTACTACTATGCGACAGCGATTAAACCCACTATATACAGATAAACAGTTCGTCAAATCCCTGAACCCCTCGTGACTGTGTCGAAGTGCCCCCATCCAACATTTCGGTCGAATATTCACACTCCGAAAGGGATTATCACCTATTATGCGATCAGCGTTTGAACCTCCAACTCCCAAACCATCAACTACCACTTTCCACTTAATAAAACCCTGATGTGACTGTCTTTGTGTGTTATTTCCCTGAGTAATATACTGTGCTGTAATTGACCGGTAGATAAAGAGCTGAAAGCAAGCTTGTTCGCTACAGCTTTGCTTTCTAATAATAATAATAATAATACATAATAAATCTATAGGAATTATTTACTCAATACTGACAGTCTCTTTGATTCAGTTTCATTTATAGAGTATACTGTGGTGTGGCCAATTTTGAAGAAGGGGGCTTTGATCAATCAAAGGCTGTCTGGTGAAATACAGAAGTGTGGAACATGGATGGCTGTGGTGTGATTGGAGCTCATTACCTCGGGTGACTGTACTGGTGACCTTAATCGCATGGCCAGTGTCACCAACAGAAAAGGGAACAAGAATCAGGTGCACTTACGCCAATGGGTTGCCAGAGCATGTGGCGTAACGGCTTGAGAAGCCGGAGAATAGTAGATTATTTTTGCATGCACGTTTTATACAGAAGACAGCAACAGTTGCTAGAAAAGACTTTTCAACACTGGGCCTTTCAAACAACTATGGAGATTGAATTCCATTAAGGTATTAAAAGGGATAAACCTCGTAATCGTCGAGACTAATAATTCAGTAACATTATCAGGTTCACATTTCAGCATGCACAACCAAATGTACACGGGATTCAGTCAGGGTGCAACTAATATGGTGACAGTAACCGGCTGTCCCGCCCTTGCTCCCTGGAGTGGTAAACAACATAGGGGACGAGCTGTGCTGTATTTGGTGTTGTTGGAGAGGTTTAAATCTCACGAGGCAGTGTCATCGACAGCGCACGGACTGAAGCGACCAGGGACATCTGACCTTGATGGTGTGCAAACAGTCACCAAACAGAAATACAGGCAATGTCAATATGTACAGTAAAGCGAATCAGAACAGTTTATGCATAATTAATGGAAAGACAAACATCACGAATTCTGAAATAATTAGTGAGTTCAAATGGCAACTCACAGTGAATAGATTGGGAGGAATAAGAGTACCGGTGTCACAGACCCCATCACACCCGTACACTTACTTCTGTCCATCCGAACTCGCGACCCAACAATGAGATGCACACAACACCAGCAATGACTCCGGAGGCCACCAGTTGAAGACGCACGCTTAGCCATGCGCTGGCGGCCACGCTAGCTAATTCAGCTCGTAGTTGTGTGCCCAGATAGTTTGCAGTGAGTTGACGAAAACGAAGCTCTTGTCCCAACCCTCTGATTACCGCCAGCCCGGACAAAGTGTCGGAGAAGTGAGCGTACACAGGGGATCGAGTGACACTAACGTAAACGAATAATGCACGTGGTAAATTAGAAGCTTGCATTACTGACAAATTCGATGCAAAACACAATTTCAGCAATGAGACGAACGGAGACCACCGTGATGTCGTTTGAGGGCACGAAATGGTAAGCTGCAAAGTGAAGCAATGGTGGTCATGTGGGTAGAGATTCAGAGAATAACAGTCGGCGAAATTTATATGGTGAGAATACAGACCTAACCGGAACGTCAGACCCATTCAAGAGTTGAGTCAAGTTCTAACGTAGTCCCACTCCACGAAACCCGTTCACTCACTAAATTAAACCAATAATAAAAATAAAAAACTAAACTAAAATAGAGGCGACAAATATGTAGTTCAAATCACACGTAAATTCAATGTGACTTTTTTTATTACACAGTTGCGTGTGATGAACAGCAGACGGGTAAAGTCCCATAGTCATGAGGACCTGTTGCTCAGTGATGGAGATCGGTAACCTAATCCCCGGGACTTGGAGTGGCGAACCACATAAGCGATGTATTTTGTTTGGGTAGCATAGAATATGAAGGGAAGATATCACAGGTATGGATCTATCATGGAAGTTAGAAATAAAGGAATCCTAGTAATCAATTAATAACGTGTATGTGATGTCATTAAAAAAGGTCCCCGATAAATTTCATATCTCGGACCACAAGAAACGACGCTTGTCACTGGGTAACAAATATATACTTTTCATCGGCTTAAGAATACGCATGGTGCCAATGCAAAACAAAAAAATGACAATATAAATGGTGGGATTAGGCATAGATAAGTGAAATGAAAATGGGGTCAAACAGATAACGGAAAAATGGAAAGAAAAAATGAATACATGTTCTTTTGTTATTTTCACATTTTGATGTCCAATATATTCATTCCTTCACTGTCACTATCAATTGGTCCGAGGAGAGCACAAATTCTCAGAAAGTAACTTCACTAAAGGCTGTGAGACTATCCGTGATATATACCGAGGGNCTAGCAGATGAACCCCCTTCGTCGCAAAGCGAATGCAAAATTTACCTAGGTGACTCATAATAACCGATTCACATTCTTAAGTGTAGAAGAGACCCGGAGAATTCATGCAAAACTTTGTTTATCTGCTTAGATGCTACCGTTTGGTGGGTACGGAATACAAGATGGGCGAGTACACAATGCCGAAGGTTAATCTAATTCACTGCAAGTTAAGTCACTTGTAGTTGGGGCGCAGCCAATCAAGAAGCACACAAACGATGTCACAGTCCAGGCTATAGTTCTATACAGTTGGTCTTCGATGTCAGTTTGAATTGATACAACCATGAACTATGAAATTTCGACTGGCAATTCTGATTCCCGTCTTTTGGTTATCCATTTGGATGAAGGAGTTTAGGGAAGGCTGAGATGCTGGAAGTGGCATCAATATGAAGATAGATAATTCAGGTAGGTTGCAAGCATATCTAGTGAATGCACGAGCGCCGCAAGTTACGACACTCAATGTCTCGAACCATCCATTATCCTCATCTGAGGGTTTCCATTCAAGAAGCCTAACGCCAGTTATAACCGTGTCTCTTAGTCAGGATCTTATATCCTCATACCGGGGCTTAATTTAACCACCATGGACTACTTACACCAATCACCTACCTCGGTAAACATCACACGCCGTGGTAATCTACTTACTTTACTGCGGCTGGCCCCTTGGAAAGGATAAGGATAGGCCGGCTCCAGATATGATCATGAATTTACTTGGGAGTTTGGTACGAGAGACTTCCCCAGCGTCATTCGGCGTTTCTTTTTATTTTGAGGGCGCACCTCTAGCGTTTGCACAACCAAGTGCCAACTGCAAGGCAGCAGGAAGTAATCCTTCGCCTCGGAAGTGAGGGGGATCAATGACTTCAGTTTTAAAAGGCCAGTCACATCGAACTTTGTCACGAAGCTGTCATTGGGCTTATGCGGCTTGAAAACAGAAGCCAGGTGACCAGCCTGAAACCCACCACACCCTGGTAGTGCCGCTGTTTGTTCACGACTGCTTATTTGTTGCGGTATGTCACAACTTATTGACAGTTAGCCTTCTTCAGTGAACGTATCCCCCTTTCCCCGACCAGGGGACGCACTTGGTAGCATTCAGCGTTGCTTAACCCGAGGGTATCCAAGTTCTACTTGGTGACATGCATAACGCATGCCTCGTCAAACCTAAACTACGAAGGTCGAGCACTTTCTCAAGTGGACTATGGCGATTGACTAAACCTCAGCGCCTAACCGGTTATTCAGCCAGACCAATACAGTGCGGCGTAGACAGCGATGTTCGAATACCGATGGCACATCTTTATCCCGTTCTTCTGAAGGTCAAATCTCCGCTTTATATGATAGCATTGGCCGAAATACTGCGGCATATACTCGACCCTTCACTACAGCCCAATGTCGCGACGTTGTCAGAGATGTCTCAAACGGGCCAGCACCAACGAAGTCTTCCATTTGCGTGTCAACAATGCCTCTGTGAAGCGTGGGCAATATGTTTCCACTTTCTCTATTGCTTAAGATGAGGTTGGGAGCTGGATCAACCCAGTCCTGTAGCATCGCCTTTGAACGTGCAAAACACACGCGGAACATAGCCACACATCCAGGAGAACTGGCAGCTTCACCAACAGTTATTAGGCAAACGGCAGACATATTGAATTACCGGGTGCCTTAAGGAGCGGGTAGCTTGCAGTGACAGCAAGTCTTCAAAACAGGCAACTCACCATTAGTCAGCAGTTGTGGCCAAATTACCACCAAATCAATTCATTAATCATAATTAATTTTTAATATCACCGAACGTATTTCACTTCCAGCAGAGCCTGGAGTTCTTCGATTGGCTGCAGTTCACTGCCTGTGAACTAATTACTTATTTGATTTTGAATGACCATCATTCAGACTTCAGCTTTGTGTACCATTATCCTGCGTTTATCCATTCAAAACCACTGAATGAGCTGAGGACTTTGTATGAAATTGGAGGCCAAAGGATAAACAGTCAAAATCAATAACAGCACACAACGCTACTGACAGGTAGATTCAAATCAGAGAATGTAATACTGTCCGTTCAATGACAGGCAAACATTGCATATGGATATATATATATATATATATATATACATGCATAGATAAAGAGAGTGAGAGAGAGAAAACAATGAGTACCTCGATATGCGTTTGAGATCTCTTGATGCGCCCCGGTAAACTCGCTGAACCGACCAGAAGACGAAGGCTAACGGTAGCAAAACAGTTAACAGCAACGGAAGGGACAAGCATGTGATCACGAGAACACCCACCAAACTGACAACACAGGCCAGGAATACGTTCAGGATGAATGGAAGTAAGTCGTCCACAGTGCCAACATCCGAGGAGAACCGATTTAGGATGCGACCTTGCGGAGTACGATCGAAGTAGGAAACGCGAGCCTGAAAAAAAAATTTTGGAGTGAAAGTTGAGCAAGAAATTTGAATGTGACAGTTTGCTATTCTCAGGAGAAAAAGAGTTTACAAAAACACAATTCAATATGTCAAGCAGTACCAATACAGATTTTCCAACAAACAACCTAAAATAGTGGAGTGAGCACCTCCATGAATAAGCTCAAAATGGTCAAGCAGTGTAACTCCATTGTACTATGTGCAGTAACCAAACGTATCACTAAGTTCACTAGTTCGACAGCTTAATCTTCCAGACAAGATAAGACCGAATAGCAGTGAGGAATGGAACCAAGCCATTGAAAATGTAGATGGTACGAGAAAACGTACGTGAAGCACCGTTTCTAAGGCATTCTGATGAATCGTCGCCGCCGCAGCTAGACCGCCAATTGCGAACAGGACGGCACGGAATGTGGTGGCCACGATATTCGCACCCACGATACTGCCGTACACGGTTAAATAGAACGACTGATTAGACGCTCGATAGTTATCTGTGAAATTTGAAGTCAGAACAGCCTCATCGGGATATGCCGAATAGAGTAGATTTGTGTAAGTGAGAAGTCCGAAATTGGTCGTGGTCACAGTGCCCCAATAGGATGAAGGTGAAACAAATGATGGATTGGACAGTCGAACCCAGTATGCAAGCCACCAATCAGCGGCGTTGCGTGTACCTAAAACGAGATAAACAAAGGCGAATGATACCGGTAAAAATTAATTGGAAATAGAAACAAGTGAAACAGTTTATGGTCGGATGATATCCAAAATGCTACTGTTGAGGCTTAAACTGACTTGTTTAGGGCAAATTTCTACATTTGTTAAGAAACAGCTAGGTTAAATCTACTAATTGTTGCCTAGATGTAAACACAGTGGAATGTGTCACTGATTACGTATGATAGTAGTTGTAGGTTTCAAAGAATTATGCATTAATGAAGAAATGGCTGCAAATTAGAGATTCCGCTGTGACTCATCTGTTGTGGTCAGCCATTCGACCCATCAATCTTGATCGCCGTTAGACCGGTTGCAAGTACCCCCAATCAACGGTCACAGGTACTTTACTTACTTTACGGTGGTAGAGGATAAGCCGCCTTCATGGATATCTCGAATTGCCGCTGCGCACGCTCGGCGATATGCAGCAAGATCAACGCAGATTGTGATCCCGCTTGACTTCCATTGGCGAACACCGTAGACGGAACGGAGATCAAGGTTTTCAGTATCCTTTCGTACCGTGTCATACCAGGTTTTCAGCTGTCCACCGTGCCGACAGCACCAGTTCCGGCAGGGAGGTGGTGCCAAGACAGCTTTTGTCAGGTCGCTATCGGACTCACGAAGAATGTGGCCAAACCATTGCAGTCGCCGCCGTTGTATTTGAGTCCTCAACCGTACAAGGTTAAAACACCGATTTCTGACCACTTCATTTGAGAGTTGATCCCTCCATCGTACTCCCAGAATGATTCTTAAGCATCAGTGATCAAAGACTTCTAATCTGTGA